TTCTAATTATACATGTTTCTAGGAATATGTGATAGCCCACAACAATATATTGTTAGAGCTAATAATATTGAGAATAATGAATCTGCCAAAAAGTTTATACATTTGTTCACAACAGTAACAAATACATCATATATATTTAATTTTGAATTGCAAAATCCAACCAAGTAATATATTATTTAAATCCAAATTAAATAAGTTGTAAGATATATTTAAAAACAATAATTTTATATTGTGTAGGGTAATTTTCCACAAGTATTTTATCTGTCACCATACTTCAAAAAAAAAAAGTACTAACCAAATTACTGAACGTAATACTGGTTGCTTATCTTCAATTGATATTTTATTAAAAAAAAATAACAAAAATACTAGGAAGAATGATGATTATTTAAAGTATTCACCTCCACTAAATGCTTCAATCAAAATTGTATGGACTCATAATCATGCCGTTGACTCATGTGATGCTTTAAAATTTTTAAGAACAAAAAGTGAAGTAAGAATGCTTTATAATTTATAAATGTCTTTTACTCAAGACAGAAGTTGTTTATTTTTATCTTATTTTATATTGTTTAAGAATGTTGGCTAATATCAAATGTTTGATATTGGTTCTCATACTAATTACAGAATATGAAAAAGTATAATCTCCAAACATATTATTATATTTTCATATTTATTAATTACTACTCTTTTCACTTTTGTATAATTATTGACTGTTGGGCTAAATAGTTAAGATACAAGAAGCTAATATATTAAGAAAAAATTTCAAAAAATACCTACTACTCAAAAATTAACTCCAGTATTTTAAATGGCGACTGTTTTAGTTAATTAGTTAATTAATCTGGGTTAAAAATAGCAGTACATAATTGTACATTTTAATTTTTACTTATATATTGTTAGGTATATTTTTCTTTTATAATATATGTAATTTATTTATTTTAATTTTGAGATAAGTATTGCAAATTTTTATTTTAAATATAACTACTTAAGCTCACTTGTTAATATAGAATTATATTTTATTCTGATATTTGACAGATTATATTAATACAGTGTTTACCTAAGTATTCGGTTTACTAGATATTCAGAAATAACTTTATATTAAAATAATATGATTAAATTAAAATAGGTATTAGAGTTTTGATAAGTATAGTTGTATATAATATAAATATAATTATTCTAATTATTTATAATAACTCATTTTTAATTGTTTGAGGTGGTTTAAGTCAATTGTTCATTTTAATCTATGCATTAGGACATTAAGTATTTAAATTAGGTACATTTCAAAACTCAATTTAAATAATTGATATTGAATGTATAAAAATTAGAATAGCTGAGCATTACAATTTAATAGTAAGCATTAGGAAATTTTTAGATATTATATAGTTTTTTCAATTTTTAATAATTAATTGTTATTAAATATTGTGTGCATTTTAATTTTTTGATATGATAGTAATCAAATATTACAGACTAATAATGTATTTTTGGAATACTTTGAAAATGGTTTAACTCCAAGCGAAGCCAAGCATTTGCATGAAAATAAGCTATTAGTGCAAGAAAATTCATGTACTTTGCTAGCTAATGCCAATATAAATCCCACAATGCGACATGTGTATTACCTACATGATGAGAGGAGGAAAGACAATTTTGGCCCAGTACATGAACCTCTTCCAAAGTTGCAAGAAAAAATTGTAGTTTACAATGAAAAAGGCAAGTACATAAAACAAGAACACACGAAAAAAATTTGAATGTTAAATACCAAAAGCTATTTACATATTTTCAATTATTTGGCAGTTTTTACTAAAGAGTTATTTTTTAAGTTTAAATTCAACCATTTTTTAACAGGAGTTCAAATAATGATAAAAACAAATAATCCTTGGGCAGCCATTGTTGTAATTCCCATTATGAAAAGAGCCCAGGATATGAAATGCTCAAGGGAAATAATTTTTATTGATTCAAGTAGTAGTGTGGATACCACTAATACCACTATTACTAATATATTAAGTCCATCAAAAGCTGGAGCTATTCCATTAGCTATTAGGATACATGAAGGACAAACTGAAGAGAGTTACATTGGAGCATTATTACTTCTTCAAAAGAATTTTCCTAATTGTTTTGGTGGAATAGAGGTTAAAATACATAATACTTTAATAATTAAGGTTACTGTTCTAGTAGAGAATTACAGTGCTATTTAAATATGCTTATATTTAACACGTTGATGGACAGTTAAAATTCTACTTCAAATGAAAAACTCTCCTAATTACATCACTTTTTAATTACTGCCATAGCAGTAATTTTTTTAATACTGCTATAGCAGTAGTGCCCCTACACATCAAAATTTGTGATGTACATACGTCAAAATATTTAAAATACTGCTATAGCGCAGTAATAACTAAAAGTTACATTTTTATGATTCAAGACTATTTTTTATTTTTTAGAATATAATTATAAATTCATATGTATAATGACTATAATTAAAATCAATGTTTATTATGAAATAGTATACATTCTATAAGAAATAAAAAGAGCAAATACTTATCTTTGTAGGTAAACAATTTTTAAACATAAAACTTGTATCTCTGGTATTTTTAATTTTTTTTTTTTATATGTAGGTATATACAAAAAAAGTGAAAAAAAAACTATACTCATCTAATTATAATAGTAATAATAATAATAATGAAACAAATTAATTCTTTAAATTTTAACTATAAGTTTTTTTTCTTTGTGGTAATCTTCAAAGCATTTTCCTGCACATAATGGAACTTTGCATATTTTGCATTGAAATGATGTTTGTTTTCGTTCTTTTTTTTTGAAACACACAATACAGTTTTTGAAGTATTTTTTCCTTTTGAAATTTTTAGGAAGTGGAATCGGTTCTTGAAAGTGTGCATTATCAGGTACATTTATGTCTGATCTATTAGTTTTTGGTTTTAATTTGTTAAATAATTGATCACAAGTTGCTTGTAATGGAATTTGTAAAAAATGTTTAATAAGAGAGTCTCTGAAGTCTTTAAATCTTAGGTTCTTAGGAGAAAAATGTTTTTTATAAATAAAAAATGTATTCCACAAAGTGACATCCAATAAGTGAAATAAGACTTTTTTATACCATTTTGCAGACTTACGTGGACAGGAATAGTAACTGATCATTTGATCAGAACGATCTACCCCACTCATATACTCATTGTACTTCACAATTTCTAAAGGTTTAAGTTTTTCTCTACCATATCTATTTTTTGATAAAATAATTGTTGGTTTGTGATTGGTGGTTATACATATTACATCTCGCTTATCTTTCCATTTCGAAACATAAACTAACCCTCTTCGTTTCCATATATGTTCCCCTTTCTGAAGTTTTTTATTTATTACTCCTTTCGGATTACCTTTTCGGTTACTTCTTAATGTACCTGTTACGTAGGTTTTTCTTTTTAATAATATGTTTGAAAGTGTTACACTGTTGTAATAGTTATCCATATAAAGATTGTGTCCTATATCTAAATACGGAGACATAAGCTTTAACACTAAGCTGTCAATTTTAGAAGTTTTAGATGGTGTTGTAGGAGTTGAATCATTTTTTCCTTTGTACATATCAACATTTAATACTTACCCATCGGGAGTACAGAGCTCGTAAAATTTAATTCCATATTTTGCTTTTTTCCCCTTAATATATTGACGGAATGCTAATCTACCACGATGCAAAAGTAAAGATTCATCTAATGACAAATTTATGTCTGGGTAATAAGCTTTTTGAAAATTTTCTATTAGAAGTTTGTATACAGGATTAATTTTTCGTATAGGCCCATCATCACACACTTCTATACCGGAATATTCTGCACTAAAGCAATTTAAAATCTGCTCAAATCTTCTTCCTGACATTGTACTTATTATCAAAGGGTTGCCATATAAGGGGTTATTTGAAAATGCATCGCGAAGTACTGAGTATATTTTATAGAACCCAGAAGTAAACATATTCCGAAAAATTTTTGCATTTCATCCTCGTTGGTTTCTTTAAATTTTGTCTTTCGAGAATATTTATTATGAGGACGCTGTTTTAATACATTTTTTTTACCATAATTATTTGTGGAATTAATAATTATATCAAAAATTTCATCAGTCCATAAACTTTTAAATATATCTAATGGAGCATCTCGAGCAGATTCATATAACTTAATTTTAAGTCCAGAAAGAGTAGAATCAAAATTAAAATCAGGTATATCTTTTTCAATATCTACCCACAAGTCCGAGTCTGACAAATCACAATCTCCTTCACTTGAACTTATCTCCACCAAAATCTCATCGTTTGAATCTGATCCACAAACAGAAATATTTGAAAGTTCTGTAATAGACGTTGATGTTCCGGGACCTGTGAACGATGTGTTGATATCATCACTACTAGAACTTTGCAACCGATTACGATTAGGAATAAATTCAGGATCGGCATCTGAATCATAAACTGTAGAATCATTAGATTCTATTTCATCGGATAAGTATTGTTCAATTAATTTTTCTTGTCGCGATGACATATTGAACGCACTAAAATAAGACAAGACACTCATACGAAGACGTCACGAACAATACTGTTCAATAATATTTATTAAAATATTATCTACACTAACACATGAACACTTATACATAGTCACATGATATGGTAAGAAAAATATCGATAACGTACCAAGTTAGTGTACAGAAATAGAAATACGATACTTAGTTGATGATAAATATATCACTACATGCCACTATTTAATGAAAACCCATAACCATGGATAAAAATAACTGAAGAAACTGAATATTTCTGTTTGGCTTTATTTTGTCAGTGCCAAATGATTTCATAAAATGTACTGGGACAGAACAACATGCTCTTTCATTTAAGACTATAGAAAAAACTACTGCTCAAGCAGTATTGCCATTTTTTGAATGGTTTTTGTATTACTGCTTTAGCAGTAATATTTGAAAGTGTCCCCCGACATTAATTTTTGAAATTACTGCTATAGCAGTAATATCTGCCTACTGTCCATCAACGTGTTAAAGGAAATTGATGCTAATAGCCATGGTTTAATTGTAGAGTCCTTTGGTTTTTATGACGGATGATTCTGCAGCTGAAAAAAATGCTTTAAGTAAATTGTGGCCAAAGCAATTTCTTTGCCATTTTCATATGTGTCAAGCTGAGCGGCGATGGCTACACGATTCTAAAAATGGAATTAATCTTAATAATAGACTGCCATTAATGAAGTTATTTCAGTCGGTATGTTATATTAAAAAGAAAATTAATAAACAATAACTATAATAACTGAATTTAATAAAAATTGTGTTATAGGCTATGTATTCTATGTCTGAAGAAGAGTTCAAAAACATTGAATCTCGAATTAAATATGAAGCACCAACAAATTTTATAAAAAGATTTGAGAACAATTGTAAAAGGCAAGAACAGTGGGTACGTTTTTATCGATCTAGAATTTTATATCGCAATCATGACACAAATAATTATGCAGAAGCGTCCATTCGAATAATGAAAGACATTTTTTTGAATAGAACCAAAGCATACAATGTTGTGGCTTTAGTTGATTTTATTGTGTCAGTAGGTGAAGAGTATTTAACTTTAAGAATATTAAATCATGCTCATGGCAGACATTCACAAACTAAAAGGTTATATGATAAGTTATGTTCAAAAATGATTAATTTTAACATATCTGACTTAAAACAAATAAATGAAACAACTTATGTCATCCCAAGTATGACTACTAAAAATGTGACATACTTTATCGATACTGAAAATGGTGCTTGTACTTACAAAATGGGACATGCAGGATCATTTTGCAAACACCAAGCTTGGATCCATAAACACATTAAAGGACACTCCCAAATTCACCTGCTATCCCATTGCAAGAACGGCATGAACTTGCTGTGTTAGCTTTAGGAATTGGCAAATGTCCTAAACCAACTTTTTTTTTTGGGTTTAAAGGAAAGTTTACCTAGCAGTTCAGAAATTGTCAGTGAAACATTAAACCAAACAATGAATAATTCGGAAAATTGTGAAAATAACGAGTGTATAATAAAGGAAACAACAACCTCAAATGAAATATCAAGTGTACCTCAGAATATAAACACTTATACTCAAATTAGAGATACCGATGATATTTTAAATTCAAATGTTGCAATTGTTCAATCCGAATGGTCAAGATTGCAAGATATGATTCCTACACTACCAGAACCAATACTGAACAAATTAGGTTACAGATTAAAAAAAATTACAAATTCTTCTCAATTTGCTAGTTTTATGTATTCATTAAGTATTAAATCATCTAACATCAACAAAAGAAGAGGTCAAATCAAAGTGCAATCTACATCTATAAGTCGCCGAAAGGAAGGCATTACTAGAGGCTCTAGAAGAATAAATTCTGGTAAAAGACCAAATAATCAAAGCCTAAATACAAACAAAAAAAGACTCCATAAACTTAGCTACAATATGGCTAAAAACCAGTTGAATGCTAAAAGTCATGGGAAAAATCATTAAATACATTTTGTCTAATATTTTAATATTTAAAATGAGAAGTAATTTTTTTTTTTTTTAATATTAACTTCTATTATCTAAGCTATTTAGCCCAACAGTCAATAATTATACAAAAGTGAAAAGAGTAGTAATTAATAAATATGAAAATATAATAATATGTTATGAAGGTTACATTAACAATAATCGACTTGTTGTGATAACGAAATTTCAGTGATTCTCAAAGATTATTGCTAAGTTAATAATCTTTATTGCTAAATAATTATCGTATCCAATAAAATCAGTGTGACCACCACATTAATGTATACTTTTATTGCTACCAAAGTGAATATCATAGATAAGTATAAATTAGTATATAAATGGCTATATATCCACCTTGATTGCTACGTTTATTAAAACGATACCCCAGTTCTACCGGATTGATAAGAAATTCCATGCCGCAATACGGACTGCTGTTAAAAAGAACAAATTCGAAACACATTTTGAGCGTGTTCCGGAAGAGCACGGACTATTAAAATAATATCAATGGAATAAGAGGTGATGTTTTATACTGTGTGAAAATATCTAAGGGAACACTGGCCGATTTCGAAAGTTTTATACATGATGTTACATCGGAACATTATATCATATTAATTTAAAAAACATTTTAGCGCGTTTTTCTGTGTTATCATACGGTCCACTTGAAATGTATTTTCCGTGTTATCAATATATAAAAATAATTGCATATTATTTTCAAAAATGTGATTGTGGTTTTGAACTCAAAAAATATATTTTCAAACTCCAATATCAATTTTGAAGTAAGTAAATTCTGAATCATAATTTCATACTCATACGATAAATATACACTTTTGGTGTCAAAAATGACCCACTTACAAAATATTTATCAATTTTTTTTCCAGGTGTTATCAGAATATGAGATTTTAGAAGAGTTGAAAGCTATTATTAATGATATGGCATTCGATTCTTTAAAAGTAAAACTATGATAAAAATGTTAATATGATACCAATAGTTTTATATAATCTTTAACATATATAAAATTAATATTAAATTACTTTAATTATATCAAGTGGTATTCTAATTAAATATAACTTTTACTGGTAAAATATATTGATTGATAATTTTATTTTGTCAGATATACATTATGTTATTTTTTTAAATCAGATTCGTTTTTTTACTTTTATTTTATTAGAAATTTATTAGATGAATTTAAAAATATATATTATTATTATTTATTTTTTATCAACTTTCATTTTTTACACCAATACCTATAAAGAAATAGACTGTAATAACATTATGTAAACTGTACCTAATTATTGATTATGTTATTTTTTAAATGAGATTTGTTGTTTAACTTTTATTTTATTTAAAATGTATAAGTTGATTTATAAACCAACCAGGTTCAATTGTTTTTTTCTTATTAATTATGAATTTTATAAATTTTTCTAGCATGTGTATTATAGATATGTTGTAAATTATTTGAAGAGTCGTGTTTTTAATGTTTTAATAATATATCATATTATTTATTTACTTTTTTACTATATTCATATAAGTTAGAATTAGTCATATATATTTTTCTAGGTAAACGCATAAGTGGGAAATATATAATCATTGCTCGTTCAATATTATATTTTGCTCCTATTTTGATTATGCTCTACTTACTTGGCATCCTATTCTGTAACACAGAAATATTTGAATCAAATTCAAAATAACTTCATAAGATTTTTATGTTTTTAATTTCATATCTGCAGAGTACCTCATTGTCCCTACATCACAATACATTTCTATAATATGATTACATTAGAAAAACTATCTATGCAGCTAAAATTAAAATTTTTATACAATATACTTAATGATTCGATTGATTGTCCCAAATTACAACAAAATATAAACATTAAAATAAATCCAATATAGTTTAAATAATTTTTATTTATTTATAATATAATTTATAAATTATTTATAATAATAAATTTAAATAGTATCTGTTACCGTCCAGCTGAAATAAATAATTTTAAGTTAGTATTTTTCCAATTCTTTACTTAAACTTTTTTATATTATTTCTTTTGCATATTTGTCGCCGCGGACACCCATACCGCCGACAAAGAATCTTCCACAGCTGTGCTGGTGGATGGTGATGGTGATGGCGGGTTGCTTTGCTCAACCACCATGGCCGATGTTGCTTCATCGCCGCCAGTCGACGGTGGTAGCCTCTCAATGTTGGTTGATGGCACTGCCATCTCGTCGCTGGTCGACGATGCCGGCTTCTTGCCCATGGTTTTAAGTGGAGCACCTAATATAAATTACAAAAGTTAAGGGAATATAATTATATTATTATATGGTAAGCAAAATTTCAATAAAAAACTGATGCTGTTCAAGCTCTCCGCTTTCTGAGCATTTAACCCTTTCACTACCAAATTAATTTTTTTGAAAAAAAAAATTTTCTCTTTTCATATCTGAAACTTATGGCCCTTCAATATGATGTACAAATTTTTTTTTTTTTTTTTATTGCTAAAAAGTTACAGGTATGTCCATTGGAATGGACATTGGGATTTACGGTATAAAATAATACAATAACGACAAATGTAAAAAAAAAAAACATAAAACTTTTATTTTGCTTCATTATTTCGTAAAAGAAGACAACTTATTTACTTAGATAATATTATATTAATTTTCAGTTTATAAAACACTTAAATGAGATTAAAATTAATTACAATGGAAATCATAAAAACAATTTTTTTTTGGTGTAAAACACAAATGAATTTTACATTTATTACATACAACATGTGTTTTACCTGTACATTTTTTGTTTTTGCACCGTGTTGCTTCTTTTTTATCATCATACGCGGGAAAATGTCCAAAAAGATCTTTGCTTACACCTTCCGTTGGTCGAAACTCCAATGCTTTTGACGATGTTTTGGCAGGTGTTGGTGAACGACATACTGCAGATCTTGTACTACTGGATGGTGAAGATGTAGGACGACCCCTTTTTTTTCCGGGACTGAATCGTCCAACCATCACTAGCTCTTCAGCCAAAGTGGTTTTGAAATGCAACAAATCTTTTTGATCTTTTTTTAATATTCCCATATTTTCTGCGTCCTGTTTGTATTCGAGCCAAGAATTTGCCACAGCCATATCAAAAGCATGAGTTATCATACGCAGAGTCCATTTTCGAGATTTCATGTACACGCGGTAATAACTCACAAGTTGATCGTGTTTGTCCACTCCTAACATGGATTTATTATATAGTTTGATAATTTCTGGTCTTTCGATGTTAACATATTGTTTATTTTTTTTGTCCCAGCGAGAAACAGATTCCGGTTTTCCTAAAGTAATGAAGTTAGATGCCATGGTTATTGCTTTATTGTCGCACCATTTCAACAGTCCAACTCCTAATGTTGAAGTTACTTCATAAGAGGTTCCTCTCCCCATTTTCATAATAACTTTATCGGATAAAACTGGTGGATTAAAAAATCGATTTATTCGAATTGTGCCTGCTGCATATATTTGACGTGCGGTGAGTGCATAAAATAAATTATACGAAGAAAAAAAGTTGTCAAAAAAAAGAAAATGTCGATTTGGCGTAAGATGTTTAGTAAGATCGAGGACAACTGCTCCATCTAGACCGAAATTTTTTTGTAAATCCTTGTTAATATTAGTTGAAACTCCTTGATAAAGAATCATGTTATAGACAATGCCACTTTGACCACAAAGTAAAAATATTTTAATGCCCCACGGATTCGGTTTTCTTTTCATATACTGTTTTATAACTAATTGACCTTTAAAAGGAACTATTTGTTCGTCAACACTAATGTTTCGTTCCACTGGTAATTGTTTACATCGATTATTTAGCGCATCAAATAATGGACGAATTTTTACAAATTTATCGGTATTATCACGAGCTATATCCATATTGTTGATGATATGAATATTTTGTCGAATAGAATAAAATCTATTTCTGGGCATTGTATCGGCAATTATATTTACGCGAAATTTTTGTTCCCAGTACATCCCGATCCTATGGTACTTCAAAACACCCATCATCATTTGAATTGCAATAAAAGATCTTATTTCTAATGGTGACGTAGGTTTAAAAGAAAAATCATTATTTTGAACTGCGTATAAATTTGTATAAAATGACAAGTCTTCGAATATTTTTTGGTCAAAATATTTAGTGAAATATTCGTATGGTTGTGGTATTGTGGAGGGACAATCTATTGGTTCTAAATCTGTAAGATTTATATACGGCTCTTGAAATGGTTTATTTATCCATTTTATATCTTTTTTTTAGACAAATGGAAACTGCATTGGTGATATATCAAAGACTTCATTTCCAGACTGAGTTTCATTTGTTGTTTGGTCGTCTTCTTCGTGCAAGTCTAATTCTGTATTAGCCAGCATTTCATTATCGAGTTCGGCAGAGAAATCATCATTCGCAAATTTATTTAATAAATCTTCAAGTTCATTCTCTGACTCACTATTCAATATATCTATATCACTAATTGTTCCGTCATCCAAAAAGCTCAAAATTTGTTTTTCGTTTAACGCCATATTATATAAAAACTTGAAATAATAATAAAAAACCATGACGTGCGAGCGAATACAGACGGTACTGATACAGAATATCAACTAAACACAATATAATTGTTTTTATATTATTACCATTATTACGTCATACGATATTGATGACAATACCACAAAACTCAATTCTAGAAAAAAAACCCAAACAGTTATAAAATTAGAATTGAAATTTTACCCGATATTCCCACTGTCCATTTCAATGGACATACTTTTTATCATGTATTACTTGTAGTGTATGATACTAAGGTATGCTTAATCAACAAAATTTTAACATTCCAGATACCTTTTACCAAGAAAAAAATATTCAGTGTTACCAACACTTATATTTCAGTGAATAAGTTAAAATATATTTCAGTTTTTGATAACACAACAGTATACAAAATTTTTTTTTGTATTTTCATTTCTTCACAAAAAACTATTAGTTAGAAGTCTAAAAATATTTTTATTTTGATTTATACTAGTATT